AAAAAAAAAAAAAAAAAAAAAAAAAGTGAGGTTTCCCTGCACAAGCTCTCTGCCTGCTGCCATCCACAAAAGATGGGACTTGCTCCTCCTTGCCTTCTGCCATGATTGTGAGGCTTCCCCAGTCATGTGGAACTGTAAGTCCAATTAAACCTCTTTCTTTTGTAAATTGCCCAGTCTTGAGTATGTCTTTATCAGCAACGTGAAAATGGACTAATACAATCCCCATGCCTTTCTCCTTCAAATACCTCAAGTCATCATTTAATGTCATCTTTTCAATGGAACTTCTTTTGACTATTCCATATAAAATCGAAGACTGCTCCCATTTCTAACACTCTTTATCCTCCTTACCTTCTTTATTTTCTCTATAGCACTTATTATCTTCTAATATAATACATAATTTACTTAGTTATTCTGTATTATAGCTTCTCCGCTGGAGTGCAAACTCATAAAGGCAAGACTGTTCTGTCTGTTTTATTCACTTCTGTATTCACAGTATACATAGAATAGTTCCTGGAACATAGTAGATTGTCCATGAAAAATTAATGAATGAATAAATCCTAATATTAAACTCTAAGAAGGCTATCTACAGAATTTTATATTTGAATCTGTTCTAAACATATTTGTGACAATGTACAGCCATGATTAGATATATGTTAATGCTTAGATAATTCTAGGCTAGTTTTGATTTGAAATATAAGTATAGAATATAATAAAAAATTTGCTGGTGGTTTTTGATATTTTCTTATTTTATATATGACTGAACCTAAATTGTATTGATGAACAGCATCACTAATCTCCTGTAAAAAACAATTGGTTTGTTTTTCTGAGAAAAACTGCAGCCTTCTCATTGAAAATTACTTTTTAATGAATATGTGTTAAAGAACAACTGGAATGTAAAGTTAGGAAAGCCCAATGACTATAGTAAACACTGGACAGATACTGCAAGGCAGTCACCTGATTTTAAATTTGTCTAACAAAATGATATTTAAAAAATTTTAAAAAATAACCTTAGCATCTGAGTTTCCTGTCTATATACATCACGACTGAAAGCCCCTTCCTGAATCTAAATCTTGCTATCATTTCAATTCTATTGTAGAAGTGATTCACTAGGAACTGAACAATTTGTCATTTAGACTTGTGACGGGAGCTCTATCCCACCTAACAAGCAGACATGCCCACTTTCGCTGTCAAAGCAGAGAATTTATGACTCACTCACTTCAACACCATACAAAAGCACAAGGACTATATCCCCATTCAATCTACCATTAGGAAGGTTAGAAAGAAGCCTTCCCACTTACCTGTCGGTTGAGTTCTTTTCTGATAAATTCGGATTCCCCGAGCATTCTCCATTTTAATTAATGAGTGAATATCAGTGCCATTAAATCGGTTTATCCTTATGATATTGTAGTTATCAGAATTGGTTGCATACAAATAATCTTCGAACACAGTTATACCATAAAGATGTCTGACCTATAACGAGGGGAAAACATAACTATGATTTTTAATTATGTAGTTTTCACTTTGAAAGAAAAGCTGATTGCTATTTACTAGTATGGGAAATGGCTACAGCAGGAGAACCGCAAGGATGTTATTTACTTTTTCTCAAGGAGTTCAACATTTCACTGATTAAAACTTATTTTTGCCAGGTGCGGTGGCTCACGCCTGTAATCCCAGCACTTTGGGAGGCTGAGGCCGGCGGATCACAAGGCCAGGAGATCCAGACCACCCTGGCTAACACGGTGAAACCCCGTCTCTACTAAAAATACAAAAAATTAGCTGGGCGTGGTGGCGGGCGCCTGTAGTCCCAGCTACTCGGGAGGCTGAGGCAGGAGAATGGCGTGAACCTGGGAGGCAGAGCTTGCAGTGAGCGGAGATCTGGCCACTACACTCCAGGCTGGCCGACAGAGCGCGACTCCGTCTCAAAAAAAAAAAAAGAAAAGAAAAGAAAACATTATGTAGTAGTGTTTAAAACAGTTCCACATGTAGAGAGAGAATTTTATTCATGTGTCACTAAGAAAGCATATTTAGTAGTTATTTTTCAAAGGCTTCTGAGAGTAACACTTTCAAGCATATTCAATAATATTCCTATGACACTGTTATATGTAATTTGAGATATTTTAAGGGCTACTTGTTTATACAATAATGGATATGTAGAAGCTGCAAAAACATAGCTCTGCCTGTGAAACGACTAATGAGAAAGCACCTCTGAAGATTTGTTTTATAAAGTCAAAATCCAATTTTTTTGTCCTAAGCTATGTTTAGACTAGCACTTGCTCCAGCACTGAAAGTAATATATAAAGAAATCACATATTTGCAATCATTGTAAATAAATGTCAACATTTCACTCAGAAATAGCATTATTTCTAAAGCCAATTTATAATAGGAATATAACTGTTTCTTTTGAGAATTACGATGTTTATTGCTATTCATATTCTTAGTTAACAGTCCAGCTCTTCTCTTTGGCAAAGGTCTTGGGGTTTATGGGGAAGAATGGACATCTTGAACTTAGAAAGTTTTCCCCTGGAGCAAAAGGAAGAATACATGTACTGATTTTCTGATAAAAAGGCACATGCTAGGCACGTTGCCTTTGGCTACTCCTTTACTTAATTTAAAATGGTTCTGTTCCAGGGTATAGTGAAGTTGCCAATTGACTTGCTGCAGAGATTTTGTTGAAAAAGCATCTGTCACTACTTTTGGCATTACATCGCACACTTATAATACATACATTTGCAGTTAAGAGAATTTGAAAAAGTACGTGTGGTTTGATTATAAAAATACTTGTAGAACAAAAATCACAAAATGTTCTATTTTAACCAGAAAATCTTGCCAGTTCTGTAGTTTAAACAAAAACATTTGATTTATCTTTCTAGCATATATGACTCATTAGTTCTATTTTTGGTCTTCTTGTATGAGATGTGACTAAAAGAAGACTGGCTTTACATGATGTTTTTGGGTTTTATCTCATTTCTTCATGCTTAGTTTGGACATAAAATATGAGAATTACTAGGGAGAACTATTCCACGTTATAGCCCAAATAGTTCTTTTCTATGTACATGCTATTCCACAGTATGGGCATGTGTTGTACTTATGTGTGGGTGTAGTCAAGTGTGTATTTACTAATATCATTTTCCACCTAGCTGACATCAAATGTACTAAAAACGTCTATGGCCAAATTTTGACTTGGATAATACTTTGTCCTACAAGAATTATAAGCAAGCTCAAGATTCTTCCCTTGCCATTAGTCTCATGCATGTTTTGCTCAAAGTTTGGGGCCATTAACCAGGAAGCCTGTAGTGATGGGATATCAACATTGTTGTCTACATGACTGCCAATTCATAACCCAGGAGAAAAAGCCTGCTACATAAGAGGCAATTGGTCAAGGTGGAAAATATGTTCAGCCAGTAAAGGTAAAATTCACTCACTATGTCCCTATCTTCCTGCAGAAAATACTATTTCCCCTAAAATAAACACCTCTGCTAATTATCCCCTAGGCAGAGGTAGGAGAAGCCTGCAGCAGTAGATAAACCATTCTGCCTTCAGCCCCAGTACTTCAAAAACTGTATCTATGTTGGATTATTTAGTGGCAGACTTAGCATATGTTTAAGGAACAAGCAAAATACAGGCAACAGACATGGGGAAAAAAGAATAATTAAACACTTCAGGTTTTCAAAACTTTTTAAAGTAGTCATGAAAAAAATTATTTGAACTCCCTATCTTCATAACAAGGTTTAACTTTTTAATTGCAAATAAGTAAAGAGAAGGGCCATGATAATCCTCTCAGAGGTCAGGTCCTCTAAGGTTGTAACTAAGAACTTTGAAAGGAATCAAGATTTTGGGGGCAGTTGAAGGTGAGAGAGAAAGCACTGGCCCACCTTTAACATTGAACAGGTTTCCCCCTAACCCCAAACAGATTAGTGCATCTCTTTATCTGTCAAGGAAGGAGAAAGGATTTCATTTTCAAAGCTGATTAGAAAGTAAAAGTAACTTTAAAGGATAATCACAGAATATACCTGTCTTGCATTGCAAAAGAATCCAAAGAGATTCACATTTTTAGCTCCATAGACTAAGAATCTCACATAAAATAAGTGCAATCAGTGAGATAGAATCAGACTTTTAAACGTATTATAGTAAATAAGGCTGATTTCTACTTAGAGATCTCTTTTAGGCATTCACTGAGCATTGTTTGCAAAACGTAATTCAGCAAAATAAAAAGTAACACATTTAGGAAGAATTTTGATCTTCGTGACTTTCACAGAATTCTCTTTTTAGGAAGTACTTGAACACATCAGAAGTCAAAATTTAATCAAACCAATTAAAATAATAAAGGTACTTTTGGGAACAGGCATTTGCTTTTGTTAGAAAAATATCTCCAATGCCACAGGGGACAGATGATAGTTCAGCTCCTCATGAATGAACTACTTAAATTAGTTTTTAGCAAATAGGCCATAAAATCGGATCTATTTTAATACTTTTATTTTTTACTAATATAGCATTTTTGTCTTTGTGTTTGTTTACTTGTTTATCTGTTTTTAATAGAAGGGAGAAAGAGTAAGAGAGGCATCTCCAATTTTGTGGAAATATCACAATATCACTGTGAAAAGAACATTCTCCAATATAGGAAATATACTGTAACTTTTATGACTCATTGCAGCTCGACTTCACAAGAAATTTTCAATATTGCAAATGTTGGTTTCCTTTTTGTATTATTTCTTTCATTGTATTACCCTAGGAGCATTTTCTAACAAAATTGTACTTACTTGTCTGCCTTGAATGATAGCATGTCTATTTTTTCCTTGATAGTCCACTACTCCCACATAGTCCAAGTAAAGATCTACCCAGTAAACCAATTTGTTGACTAGGTCTAGTGCCAGTGCAGCTGGCTGCTCTGTCTTTGAATCAATTATCCTTGTTCTGTTCATCCCATCCATGTCACATCTCTCCACTTTGGCGACATTCCCGTAGTCAGTAAAGAAAAGTTTTCTGTTGAAAGAAAACTAAATGTTAAAGCGGAGGGTGGGGGAGGGAAGCACATTTGATGGAGCCATCTGTAAAAAACAGAACTTTTTCTTCTAATTTATTTCAGTGATTACATCTGTTAGCTTCCCATAACCATTTCCATATAATATCACTCATAAACAGAGAAATCTGCTAATGAATATTGCAGGGCATAAGGGAGCAGGTTAACCAACAACTGTAAAATTTCCCCAAAACGAATGATTATAGTGGGTTTATTTTTGTATTAGGAGAAATGTTTCTTTAAGCCTCATAGAGCTGATGGACATCGACCACATTCAGTGTAAGCTTCAGAAGTGAGCCAAGTCACCAGGCCAGGGCACGTGAGCTATCAGCCTTTATCTTCAACCTGGCTTTCAAATTGCCTGGTAATGTTTGTCTCCTATAAAAGTTATTATGCAGAGCTCAATGATGCTGTGAGTGGTGGAGAATAGCAAACCTGGAATGGAATTAAGCAGACGGAAAAGCAAATGTGCTGTTTGTAGCAACAGAAATAAAACATAAATAATCAATTCCCCACCCAAAAGTATCCCTAATTCTCCCAAATATTCCCAAATCACAAAATTGTATTTAAGAAGTATAGGTCATTTCTTCTCATTTTTTCTTAGTATTTATTTTGGAGAAAAGGCTGAAAAGCAATGTTGACCTCTGAGACAACAAATTCTTTCATGCAGCGCTAATGGTGTCTGTCAAAGTTTAAAATGTAACTCCAACACCTCAGTGTCTAATATTTGATTAGTATTCACTATGTTTAGTAAACACAAATCAATTTTAATTAACCTGACAATATTTAACAAGATTACCCACTCATGAGACTAAATTACATTTGTAAATAGAAGACCATCTTGCCTTGACTTAAATACAATCTCAAGAATAATCCGATTTACAGTGACTGAGCAAAATTAAGATTACCTAGAGTATAAAATATTTGATTTTACAAACTTGGTGAATTAGTTTTTAGTTACTTTTCTCAACATACTTACATTATCTAACAGTATGGGCTATCTTTCAAGCTTAAACATGTTATTTAAACTTTAATTTTAATTTAGCTCTCTCTGCTGTGGGAGACACTAATTTTTAAACATTAGTGCATACTATTGGTAATAGTACAAGCTAGATTTTATTATAAGTATATTTTCCCCAAATGTTCTTGAAAGATCAGTTTATCATAAGTCAAAATTAATTTTTTCAAGTTCTATCTATTTAGGTGAAGATCTTTCGATTCTAGTGAAGAATAAATAAAAGAGCACATCCTGCAGTTTCATTGTCATGCTAAACGATCAAATCACTGCTTGGCATGCACACGTTCCCTCTCCCCCTCCATCTGTCTCTCTCTCTCTCTCTGTCTCTCTCTCCCTGCTTCCATCCTGCATCTCTGCTTTCTTCACTTATAAATCAATTTGTTCATAGCTATTCTGTTTCTATAAGGAGTACCCAGTTTCACTCTTGTTTACTGTAGAACAGTGTTCATTATTTTTGCTACATGAAACTTTTTCTCATAATGCCTCTCCTTTTATATATATTTTTTTTCTCACTAGTTCATTTCACAGCGGTGAAGTTGGTGTGCAGGTGGTTTGACTTTGGGCATGGAGAAATTAAGGTTCTGGCTATCATGTGACATGTAGAGACTACGTTTAGATAGCATTATGAAGCAGGCAATTGCAACTGTTTACATAGTACTTAACAACTGGAAAGGTGAGTCTGAAGAGGAAGCCTTCTCTAAAGTCATCTTGAGATGACTTAATTGAACGAGATCTCCTGACCCCTGAAAAAAAAAAAGAGGAGTCTCAAGACAATCTTGGAGGTATGCTATTAGAGAAATAAGAGTAAAGGAGGTCAGAAGTTAGCGGTAACACAGATGTTCATAGACATCTAAAAGAGAAAATTTTCAGAATAAAAAAATTGAGTGGCTGACTGGGTCAATCACTTTACAAAGCAAAAAAAGAAGAATATAGATTAAGAAAATGTCACTGAATCTGATATTCAGTAAAATACTAGTAGTTTTTGCCACTTCTGTTTGGGAAGTTTAGTTATGGAGGAAGAATATAAAGCAGGTGATGATGAAGGAGTTCAGAAAATGTAAGTTATTCTTTCAAGAAATTTTTCATTGATTTTGACCTTCTCTTGCAAGAATGATGCAATTGATTCTCATATTTTTTTCTAAATCATGATAAAACTGATTGAGATAACTCTCTAAGTTTCTGCCAAGTATGAAAAAAAAAACACATGTAAATATATAACTGATCAAAATTGAACCTTCTCAGACTTCCGATTCCTGACTATGATGAGCTCTAATCACTCCTAATTGAAATGCAAAAAATCAAAGAGTTCTAAAGAATAATAGCAACGTGACCATAAAGTCACTACTATTGAGTACCTATAGTCACATGATGATATAAATGTTTATTTTTGTGCTTGTTTTTAGCAGTGTTTGATTTTAGCTTAAAATTTCCTGTTACAGAGAAAGGTTTCATTCCCAGGGCATTCTTTAGTGGAGGCATGGCTGTATTATAATTGGTAAACACAAGCTGAGGTTTTTAAATATTTAAAATTCAACTATGTCATTTGTGATATAAATGTTGTCGAGTTAAAAATCACTCTCTTCTTTTCTACAAAATATTTTTCCAAATCACAGACAAGTAAATGGTGCTCTGCAAACTCCATGATCCCGTGGATACTTATGAGAGACAAAAGTACCAGATAATTTGTATTTTACAGATGAAACAGGTTCAAAGCCTTTATGGTTAGTCCTTGCCAGAGGCATAAATGTCACATATTTTTGAAAAACTTGTTATTTGGAATTTCAAACTTACACAAAATTTTTAATTTTGAGGAATAGTAGAATGAATGCCTATACCCATCACCTAGATTCACCAGTTGTTTACATTTCATTCTGTTGCCTATTTTACATACTCATTGAGCCACTTCAGAGTAAACTCTAGACATCATGACTCTATTCCTAAACACTTCAGCATCCATCTCTTAAGGTTAAGAAAGACAAGGACATTCCCTTGCATAACCACAGTATATCTCTCATAATCAATACCTTTAGCAATGTGTACAATGTATAGTCCTTATTCAAATTTGCCTTTTGACAGATAATGTTCTTTATAGAAAAAATTTCTGATTCAAAATCTAATTCAACATCATGCATTGTATTTAATCATCTTTTCCTCTCAACTCCTTTAATGTTGAGCAGTTCTACAGCTTTGCTTTGTTGTTCATGATGTTAGTATTTCCAAAGAGTAGATAGGAGTTGTTTTGAAGAATATTCCAATTTGCGATCTGTCTGATTTTTGTCATGTCATAATTAGGTTACATTATGCCTTTTGAACCAAAATGCAATGATTTTGCACTTTATTGTTACTACTGCTAGGGCTTAGAAACAGTGGGAAAGCCTATGATCCACCCCCAAAATTACACAAAAAAGAATTACAATGGTGGTTTGGAATCCCATTCATTCCACCATATTTGATGTTTTCCAAACACTTAACTCTCTTAACTTCCAGGGTCCTACTCTCTTTTTCAGCATCTCCTCCCACCAGGAACTAAGGGCCCCCAGTTTAGCACTCTCCCTGGAAAATTCGTGGTAGATTGTGCAGATCAGTCCCAATTCAGCCCTATGCCCCATTCCCTTTAGGATAGCAGTATTAATACATTTTTTTTTTAATCTCTCTTTGTTCTTACCTGTGTTATCAACTTTTTTTTTTTTTTATTATGCAGCAAAAAAGTGAATTGCTGTTGTCTTGTTCTACATTTATTTTTAAATATCATTCTAGTTTCCACTAACAAAAATTAATATTAAAAGAAACCAAAATTCCAACAACTGTCTCTATTTCTAACATGTTTAACTATTAGCTCACAAAAGAAAACATTTCTTTCAAATTTCCAATTATTCATCCCATTTTCTGAATTATGAATCCCATAAGCTGAATTATGGGATTCATAATTCAGCTTCTCTACTAAATAACATTTTATTGTTTTGGTATCATTATCCCATCAGATATGGGAAACTGTTTTTGTCTGACATCTTTGTGATTATATGAGCAGCCCTGTTTCACTACAATCATATAAGTTTTATACAGTTGAGGATAGTAAGAAACTTGGAGTATTATTGGTAAACTTGCCTAAAATAAATCAAAAGTCACAAAGGGAGCAGTCATGGACAGTGACAGAGCACTGTGCTTACAGAGTTATGGCACCAATCATTTCTATACTTTAAAGGAAAGAAATTGTTACACACACTGACATCTTAAAGCATGTATTTTTTTTAGCCGATAAAAATAAGAATTACTTTTGCCAATGATATCCATTTTAAATAATGCTTCTGTACTTTAATTCAAAAAAACATGAGAATTTAAATACATCAAAGTTCTGTCCATGTCCTTTAACTGCATAGTCAGTCCCTGTCCTGAACTCTTAAATGTTGGTTATAACTTACTGATAGAATTTAGAAATTTTCAAAAGGCTCTCAAAATGAAATGACTTATCATTCATTTTTAACTTTAAAAAAAAGCTAGGTTACACAACAAGATTTTTTTGAAATGAAGTTAATAAAACAAGGTATTTTACATAAGATACACAATGGGGAGTAGCTAAGAAGGGAGTAAGACATAAGAGTAGGGAACCATATATTGCCAGATTTCAAAACTCATTGCTATGATTAGGATCTGGCAAACCCTCCATGTTTATTATGTCTTAATGAAGACAACTGCTTTCCTTTTTATTTCAGGAAAGTGATACATATTTTCCTCAGAAAGGTTTGCACTAGGAACTTCATTTTTTTTCTTGTTTTTATAATAACTTAATGTTATCCAAATAGCATCAATAGTAATATAACCTTACTTTTTATGCCATTGTACCTTGAACAAGAAAGTAATTTTCCACATTATATAGAGTAATTGAGGTATATTTAGAATTAAAGTAGGAATATTAAATATTTAGCATAGCAATTCTAAAATGCAATT